TTTTCACTTAATTGTTTATAACTTTTGTAATTTTTATCGGCGCGTTTTCGTACCTTTCCTTAAACTTTCTAGGCAAAAATACGAATCGAATGACACCTTGGTCGTAATTTTTGGACAGGGCTGAAAAATGTTACAAAAAAAAGTACATGTGAACTAGACTAGTTCATGCTAGGCTGAACCATAAATGCGTTGTTGGACTCAAATGTCCTTGAAAGACAAACCTGGTCACGTCTTTACTTTTGACTTCAGGTTATACTCCAGTGCCGTATTCAACGATACTTTCCCCGAGTACTCCATACCAGAAATTCAGCAAAAACCTGTCGACGACCTCTATCTGCAAATGAAGTGCTTGCACATAGATAAAGTTGTGAATTTTCCATTTCCCACAGCTCCAAATCTGCTACAACTCAAATCAGCCGAAGCTAGATTGGAAACTTTGGGAGCTTTGAAAGACGGTCAAGTGACACCCCTCGGCAGGGCCATATCTAAATTTCCTGTTCTCCCGAGATACGGTAAAATGTTGGCTCTCAGTCACCAGCAAGATTTGCTACCGTACAGCATATGCTTGGTGGCGTCTTTATCTGTTCAAGAAGTTTTGTTGGAGGTAAGTGTTGATAATAAATGTCTCCTTGTATTGTTTGTATCTTGTATCTTTGTATCCAAATCAGTGTGACTTTCCACGGTCTAGTGATGGAGAATGTGCTGCTTTGGATATGATCTCTAATATTCATTTATAATTATATGAGTGTAAAAAATGCGGACTCTTGTAGATAAACCTCTGTGAAGGTTTTGATACTGTTAATCATGAAATTTTGTTGGCATTGGTAGCAGAGGTAATGCATTTTGAGTGATAGGAAGCAAAGTGAGTCTTTGGAAACCAAGAANAAACGTGTATATGAGGCAGTTCAATAATATCTTAACAAAAATCTCAAATCTTCTTTTTCCAGAAAATGTAAATTCAACAAGGGAATATTTGCATTAATGAATTATCAAAGGCATATTATTCGCCGATAGACTTTGATTTGTTTGCAGATTTTTGTTTGTTTGCTTTTACTTTGGTTTTGTAACTTCCGTCTTAGAGAGCTTTGTTTATCTTTGATATTCGAGGACTGAGTTCTCTGTCGATCCCATAGATGGCGTATCCGTATGGGGATGTCATCTCCCTGTCTCGATAGAACATGTCTTTATTGATAAAATTATCATTATTGCCAACAGGTACCAATTGTGCATACTAGTCCAGAAGAAATGAAGCAGATGCGTCAAAAATGGGCTGTTATTAGGAGACAATGGGCTGGTCAGGGAAACTCTTTATTTTTGGGGGATTACATGGTTCTCCTGAGAGCAGTCGGTGCAGCAGAATATGCAAACAGTCAAGGAAAATTCGAGAAATTTTGTACTGACAATGGCTTGCGGCACAAAGCCGTTGTTGAAATAAGGAAATTGCGTCTGCAGCTAACCAATGAAATAAGGAAAAACACACCGGAGGTTGACGTGGTTGTCGATCCCACTATGCCGCCTCCCACCGATCTCCAGGCGAAATTACTGCGCCAGCTGTTACTTGCCGCCAATGGGGATCAAGTTGCGAAAAAGATATCTCCAGAAGAAGTCAAGGAGGACGAGGAGAAGAGCAAATATAAGTATGCGTACCGTGCGAATAATATGGAGGAACCTGTTTTCCTACATCAGAGTTCCGTATTGAAAAAGACACTGCCAGAGTTCGTGGTGTATCAGGAAATTTATGAAACTAATAAAATGTATATGAGAGGGGTAGCATCTGTGGAACCAGAGTGGTTACCTGTCTACGTACCTGGTTTGTGTAACTTGTCGGAGCCGTTATTGTTCCCCGAGCCGAGATACAATCCACATACAGGTAATATTCTGATACTAAAAAACATGTGTTGCAGTATCCATCCTAATTTCGTGAAATGAAATTGGATGGAACTGCAGAAAGAAGATTGGCATTTATATTCCTCCAATTGAATTGATTGTAACTTGAAAAAATTATCACTCAGTACATGCTGAACAATATAACTTATATTAAAAAAGGGGGTTTATTGTCTAACGATAGTAATTCCAATTTTACATGACAAATATAATGAAGTTTACAGATATGAATGAGTATAAGTAAAATACGATAGCATAAAAAACCACTAGACTAATAGAATAGNATCTGTTTTTTCCGTTAATCAGCTGTCGCCCCCATACGAACGACAACTCTCAGAAGTTGAGAGACTTGTGCGAGCTAAGGACTAACGAGGTCTCACCTTTCAACGTGTGATTCCTAACACTTATGACAGGATCATCTGAAGTATTAACCCTAAAAGAGAATTTCATTGGTACCGACTTGAAAGTTTATTTCTTTGACACTGGTCGACAATACTTTGCAGATGAGTTGCTCAACATTTTGTCCCGATAAAGTTACGGTGTCATCAACATACATTGTAATATGCTTGTCTTATTATTAAATGTCGAGATAAGCCATTTATATATATATGGGAGAAAAAGTAGAAGGCCTAGGAACGATACCTGAGGCACACAGAGTTTATTATTTTTTTGATATTGAACCAATACAAAATACCTTTATATTTCTTTCACTCATATATTATAAAAATCCAATTCATCTTATGACTTGGGAGACCTAGGCTGAATAATTTTGGAAGTAAAACATCTAAGCACACTGTATCGAAGGCTTTCGATGAACATACTTTTTAAATTGGAAGGGGTTTATTTTTGTATATATGTAGCTCATTAGATGTTGGGAAACTGTTCCAAAAGCACTTTTTTTAGAACATTGGAAAACATACCTTTTAATCAGACTAGTTCATAGGGTGAGTTAACTGTTTAATAACTGCTGGAATGATTTACCTAAGCATAATCATAGTTTACCATTGCCAGCTGATTTTTCATTTTCCACAGAGTACTGAATAACTCATATTTCCTAGAGAATTAGATGAAAAGGGCAAAAATTTGCCTATAAATTTAGTGGCAGTACAGAGAAGGCAGAAATTTCCATGTTCCACGTTTCTCTCGTTTATAATTATTTTCATTATAGGATCCAGTTTTCTATTGTAAAAGTGGGGTCACGTTTATTAAAACAGGTTCTGCGTCTTCTTTTCATCTTTTTCACCTGATATGTATATAAGAACATCATAGACATAATAATATATGGACTAGGCGTTAGGCGTGAAGTCACTTTTACGTATATTACACCTGCGGCACATAACGTCTTGGCTACTGCGTCACAGCATCATGTGACAAATCAAATTCCTAAATTTTCACATGTATGCAACGTCTTGATATTGTATCCCTTCATCCTTTTCTAGTTGTTAATGTCAATGTTCTCTATTCAATAACCAGTCTATATTTATTATTACGTCATTGACTTGGGCTCGTTGGGAGTTTATAGGTTTTGTCTTGATCAAGTCCACGTTAGGCAAAGTTCTTCCTGAGCAAGTCATCTATAGGTATTCTCACCAAATGAAGTTATCTTGAACTGCAAATCAGTGTGATTTTTTTGTGTGAATGACAGCGCAAAGATTGTTTTTGCTATGTGATAGAATCGGCCGATACTTGATGAAAATCCATAACGTTTTCGAGAAACACCAACTGTCGTCTTGGCATTTGCCCTTCAGCGTCCTCTGACGGTCTCGCCGTTGGTGGGTCACAGTACTATTATTTTTGATGCTAAGCAGTTTCCACAGCTTCGTTGGAGATAAAATGTACTTGTTGAAATCAAAATTTCAAAACTGAGATATAAGCGTGTTCTCTATATGATTCGTTTGTTTAAACTGATCATATTCATAATGATTCTTTTTTCCCAGTTTTAATGATATATTCTTTTGCATTTTTCATAAGAAGTCTCGTTTGTGACAGAAATTCGTACATTGAGTCTTTGAACAAAACCGTTTTGTAACATTATACAGGATTCAAGAAAAATCGGTACATGCCGATCTATTTCATAGATCGGCGAATAGTAAAAAACAATTATCAGGCATTTTCAATTTACTATTATGAAAAAGTTTGATTTGTAATTTCAAGTGGTTTTTTCGCAGCTTCATTGGAGATGATGTACTTGTTGAAATCAAAATATTGAAAAACTGAGACGTATGCATGTTCCTTATTGACAGTGTCGGTGTCGAATTCTATGACAGTTTGTCAAAATCAAAATATTTATATATTGGTGTAACTGGTTTTTACGTTCGTCATCTGGTTTTCTGTCATCTGTCAGTGTCAGTTCAATCATTTTCTATTATTTTGTCGAATTTGAAGAATTGCATTATATTTTGGAAAATTGTAAATATTTTAAATCGACCGAAATTTCGTCTGTAAACCTATCATCTAGTATAAGAATAAGACGATTTCTCAGTTAATCTTGCACTCGATATGAAGGGCACCAGATTTTGAAGGATGAAGGAAATACACTTTCTTTTTTACAATTAGTACAGTTCAAGAAAACTTCCACATTCCAAGAGAGCTACAGAGTGAAATCGAAAATAATTACAGACAAATTGGGGCAATGAGTAAACTGTCACGAAAACATACCAGCGCTACCGCTAGGCTCAGACAAGATTACCTCAGATTGAAAAGGGACCCAGTGCCCTATATAACTGCCGAACCTCTTCCTTCAAATATTTTGCAATGGTAACAATATCATATAGTCTTTTTTTGAGCTGGATATTTTCAGGTTTATGAAAAAGAATTGGTTATACATTGCATGTATAACCAATTCTTTTTGAATTTCAGAAAAGGAGTTTCATTTTCTATTATTTTGAACTGTTTCATTGACAAAACTTCCAACTCTATCAAAAACAGTTTTTTGTTCAAATTATTTCTATTTTAATCAAGTCAATCAAATATTTTGATCTCAATATTTTCAGTTTTGTGAAATTCATCAATAAATATTGTCAACCATTTTCAAACAGTAAACAAAAGATTTCGAGTGTTCGGGTCGTTTTATGACCTGCAGTGGCGCGCGTCTGGATATTTAATTAAATATACTTCTCAAAACTATCTATTTATATCCAGGCATTATGTTGTTTGTGGACCAGAAAACACTCCGTATGAAGGAGGCTACTATCATGGAAAACTAGTGTTCCCACGCGACTTCCCATTCAAACCCCCTTCAATATATATGATAACTCCAAATGGACGCTTCAAGACCAACAAGAAACTCTGTTTGAGTATATCAGACTTTCATCCAGACACCTGGAACCCAGCTTGGAGTGTTTCTACAATCCTCACGGGGCTTCTGAGTTTCATGGTGAGCAAATTTGATAAGTTTAGGCTTTTCGAATGAATTGAAATATTAGTCCCCTGTTCAGGAGATGGAGTAAACTGCTTCATCTCCTAAAGACACCAACTTGGTTGGTGAAGAAGAGTATTACAGTTTTTGTGTTTGAGAAAAGTGCTTGTTCTGGATGAATAGAAGTTGGTAAATTTTCGTTTCGAGGACACCCGGCGACTTTCATCCTTCATCCTTCTTTTTCACAAAATAAACTATTTAAAAACACAAGCATCTATTACCTAGGTCACCTTTACACCTTATTCCTCCTTCTTTGACACTTTTCATTTCAATAATGAACATTTTTTCATATTGAACATTTCATTTCATAATTGCTTGTTTATATACCTAAACATACGTTTGTAATAGTTCAATAAGCATTTTTTGTATTCAATGAGTCGTACCTCTATTTCAGCTTGAAAAAAGTCCTACTTTGGGCAGCATAGAAACAACAGACTACGATAAGAGACAATTTGCTTATCTGTCTCTGGAATACAATTTGAGAGATAGGCAGTTCTGTGATCTATTCCCCGAAACGGTATCAACAATTCAGGTATGTAAACAAATAGTGTTTTTATGGAAAAGAAAAGTTTCGTTCGTCTACTCCATCTTCATACAAAAAATATAGGAATCTTCCATAGAAAGGAAGAAGTTAAAAAATGTGGATTGGTATTATGGCCATTATAAAAAACGAATCTCATCTGATTGAGCTTCATTGTGAAACAATCTGTTGTTATGGTTTCAGAGCGAGATAACGAAAAGAAACGCTACCCAGAAAGTGGCGATGGAGACTCGGAAATCTACAGAAGCTGAGGCCCAACCTAGTAGCATACAGTCCTGCATAACTAACCTATGTGTTATAATTGGCGTTGCAGCGTTTGCATTCACTGTCAAATACGTCATGAAAACGACTGCCTCTGAATCCGAATAATTTATTTAGTTCTTATTATTGTTTGAGTTCCGTGAATCCACATTGTTTTAAGTTCAAAGAGTATTGCTGGAGAACTTGTCTGAGGGAGGAGACCATTGGTTTTTCTATTGAATGGAGGCGGTTGTTATACAGGGTACTTCAGTTGTCTGAGAATTTTTTTTTTTTTAAATATAATGGCAGTTGTGATGAATGAGATTTTTTCATTCATATAACTTTCAAAATAATTGAAATGACATTCATTTTAAAAGGATTTTTGCACAGATTATAATTTGGTTGCTCTGTACAACATCTGGCTCATCTCTCAGAGACGTGTCTTTTTCTTTTCAGTATTCAGTATTTCTTTTCAGGTCATGTAAGATTCTTTACGAAAAACGTGAAACAGTTGCAGATAAATTGTAATTTGTATCACAGTTTTGATAATTTCCTTGTATATATAATAGCAATATTTTCCTGTACATTAATGTTAATAAAACATTGGAATATTTAGTTGTGACTTTCATTTGTGGAGTTCAAATAGAAAGATGTACTGATAATACATCTTCTATTAGGAATTTTCAATTCCATAAGTAACATGTGGATCATCACACTAAAGGAAATAAAATATTTTAGCATAATAATGAAATTTCTGTTTAATACACTTACTGCTATACTACGCAATAATAATATTAGGTTATTTCAAAAGTTTTGTCTATTTTAAAAAGCTTTTATTTAACTTGATTTGTATGTCAGTTAACAAATGTTGCAAGTTTAATTTGACCCACTTCCTGGTATCCGATTGACCTGAAATTTTGCATGCTGGTTCAGAACCAATGACAATGCATGTTTATCATAAACATGACCTGATGTTGCTGCCAGGATCGGCTCCGTACGAGAGATCTCCTCAGTGGTAAATAGCAGGGACACGAAATTTTGTATACGCATTCGTTTATGATAGGCACCATGAAATAGATGTCACATCCAGGGTCGGCTTCAATAAAAAAAAATATATTTCTAGAAAAAAGATTAAATCAAGCTACTTCCCGACTCTAACAAGAAGAGGTTAAATGGTGTAGTAGGTTGTAAGAACCCATATTTATTTGCATTGTAAAAAAATATAAGACTGTACGAAATTAACTGGGACTTGGGCATGTAATAATGACGCCATCAATGAAATGAATATACTAAGAAATATAACAAGCTAATTCTTCTATAAGGTATGCCGGAGGAGTAGGTATAGGCTGTTCACGTTAAGAAGAGAATGACGTCATTTTTGGTAATTTTGTATATCCAACATAACAACGTTAAAATTCCCACTGAAATGCGGTCAACAGCAATGAAACTAGTAACATTTCATTTTGTTAGTTGTTCAACTGATAGTAAAATTTCAGACGTTGCCAAATCGAAAAAAAATCGACAACTGTCAGTCTTTCTTCTCTTTTCAGAACTAATCATTTCTTTTGGTAAGACCTACGTATATTCAATATGCCTAAAGCATTGTCGAAATAGTCCCAACAAATACTGAAAGTAAGTAAGGATAATAGCAATAAAACATCAACAGTACAAAAAAATTCGACAGTTCGAAATAGTGCACATGTTGGCAACGCCGTAACTTGTCATCTTATGACGTCATTCTC